TTTTTATAAAACCTGCTCATGGTTTGTCATAAACTTTAGTTGATTCTGCACATAAATGTCCGAGGGAGGAGATGACATCTATACCTTGCAATAATATTTAAACACAGAGCTTTCCCATGTGAGGGGCCTGAAGAATAATAAATAGCCTGGGTACAGGAGTAAGCAGTCTTTAAAAGTCAAGGTCAATCCATCTTTTTGGGCCAAAAGAGGCCAGAGGTCCTCAAGGTTTGTCACTAGTCACTTGGCCTGAGGACCTTTCCACTCTGCCCAGGGGTGCACACCCCCGTAGCGGCAGCGGCACGTGCCCTGGTCTCTGCGGCGCACAGGACGCCAGTGCCGAGGCCTGGGCTTAACTTTGTCCAGGAGTTTCCAGGGAACACTCTGCTCGCCAGGCTGGAGTCGGCCATGTGCTGCTGTACGGACACAGTGGCAGGCCGCGAACTTTCCACTCTCTTGAGGAAATGAAGCATGATGGCCGTTGTGAGACAGGTGACGATGCACTGCGGGGTCCCCGGGATGGACGCGTTGGCAGTCAGGACTGCCACACCACCACCTGCCACGCCTCAAAGTCAGCACCAGACGTACCGAGACGACACTCCACGGCGAGCACCTGGAGACCCCACAGAGCCACAGGGACTTAATTCTCCCAGAATTCCAGTATTTGTATAAAAAACTACCCTGTGCACATGTGTAGGCGAGGTAAAAAGATCCTTTTTTGTTTTCAGGAGCATGAAAATGAAGACTACGTGTATCATGAGAGTTGCAGCTGTGACACAAGAGACTCTAGAAAAAAGATGTTTTACTGAATATGTCACGTTCTTCCTAAAGATGAGGGTGACACAGAGCCACAAACAGGGACAGTGCTGGTGCAGAACACAGGCCCTGGAGTCTCCGAAAGCTGCTGCTTATTAACCTGTATGTCGGGCAGGTCAAAGCTGAGGTCAAACAGAAAACATCAATTGAGCCATTTCCCTGAATCAAGCTCCAGGGTGCAATATTCTAAGCACTTTATTCAATAAAAAATGCTTTTCAAATAGTGCTTTGGTGATTGGGAACATTGCCGCCATCCGTCAACCTCACAGCAGCAAAGTTCAATAAGCTAAATAATGAACCATTGAGATCATTTTCCTTAGGCTTTAGGGTTTGCAAATGCTGCATCAATAGAGAGCTTCAAAAATTATGATGAAGCCTATTCTTTCCATTTTCAAATTTAAAATACGCTAGGGATTTTTTTTAAGGCTATTTAATGTTCTGCTACTTCTAATCACTGTCCAATTTCCAAAGTAGAAAAACTTTGAACAAGTAAAAGATTTACGTTTAAGACACTAGCCGTTTCTCTTTCATTCCAGTAGTTTTTGAGTCAGTGACACCCTTCCCTGCTGCGGATTCCTAATTCAAGATTTTAAAAGGGTGACAACTTACACAAAAACCTAAAGATGAAAAACCCCATGTGTTTCAAACAAAATGTATATTTATTTTTGGCAGGTAATAAGGTACATGTTTAATATAATATTGTCAAAACTTTCAATAAAATTTTCCTTGGGTGATATTTGTAGTCTATGTTTCCCATAACTTTTTCAATATATAATCGTATGGAACTTTTCAGAATTTCTAGAATACTGTAATACAAAAAGCCACACATTTAGCACGTTCTGAGAACGAGAATGTGGCCCGTTTCTCCCCGCGGCATCCCGGGCGACCCGCCACTTGCCTCGACGTGCACCCCGGAGCTCTGGCACAGCCGTCTGCATGCTTATACTTCACCCATCTTACCAGTTTAGACCCCCGAATTTGCTTTTGACTCTTGAATTTTGCATTTTCTCTGGTTTTCTCTTCCCAAATAAAACAATTTGATAAACACACAACTCCTAAAGTCATACTGAGTCTGGCTACAAGAGATTCTTAAACATTTGTTGGTCAACAGGGCCTAAAAAATCCAGCAGCGGGCACAATGACGTCTTGCCCACCGATTCAGGTGCGACAGGAAGCGTGTGAGGGTGTCGGGCCTGGTGCCCACACCTCCCCAGGTATTTCCTCCAGACGACAACTAGGTTATCCTCTGGGAGCCGCAACCATTCACGGCAGGGCAGCTAAGCCCACCCACAGGCTCTGCCAATACCTCCACCATCACAATTCATGGGGGCCCAAAAGGCAAACGCCACCCGCATGGACACAGCCTGGCTTGCCTCCAGGGCTCTGGCTCCGAGACTGTGGCAGCATGACCGGAGTCCTGGAAGAGCTCGACTACACAGTGTCGGCTCTGCCTACCGCCTGCTCCGAGCACTTCCCACCACGTTCCCAACAGCCTGCGGCTCGGCCAGAAGCTCAGGTACACAGACACCGTGACGCGAGACAGGCTAGAGCCCGGCCCCTCCTGAAGACCTTGCGGAGTGCCTGGCGATGACTGACCACGACACCATCGCGGTGTGCGGCGGTGCCCAGGAGCCACCACAGGGCACACGGAGCTGATGACAGTGGTTAGAGAGCAAGCAGGCTTTGAGATCCTTCTTTATCTTCATCTTTTCTCATTCATTTTGATTGAAAAATAGCCCCTCTAATTATAGAAGTAGTAAGGTTGCTATAAAACGTGAAGTAGTAACATGACAGTGAGAGAGCGCCTTTGCCCTGATGTGCAGGAGGCAGGCAGCCCAGGCAGAGGGGCCTGAGCTACTCGGGCATCGGAAGAGCACTTGGGTTGGGCACAGCTGGACAAAGGCGGAGATGAACGGAGGCGGGGGTTCGGGGCCGTGGAGCTGCTCAGCCAGACCCATCTGTGTGGGCCACGCTTGGGCACTACTAGAAGACCGCAGGCACGTGGGTCAGCAGGAAGGTTTTAGTGACACGAGGCCCTGTAGGTTCAGGAGCAAATGTGGCCATGAAAGCAGGGTTATAGGGAAGGCTGTGGGGCCGCAGGCATGGGAACCACTGGAAGGGAAAGAGCCTCTGGGGCAGGTGTGCAGACCCTCAGGGAAGTCCCAGCACAGCACGGTGACCAGCAGGGGCCCGGGCACAGGGCCACGTGACGTGGAGATCACTGGGGTGCGGACAACCATGTGGGGACAGGAAGGGCGGCAGGTCTGTGCAGAAAGACAAGAAGGCGACCGTCGATGTGCTCGGTTCACAGGGAGACGAGAAACCGAACGGAAATGTACTCCGCTTTCTGTGTCTAAAAAACAACGAAGCTTCTATCTTTTTGGCTGCTTTTCACCACTTTTAAGCTTTTATGTGACTAAGGACATTTAATTTCTAAATTGGTTTATTTTGATTAAGATAATTTCTTGACTATACAACAAAAAAGAAATATCTATGTAACTAGGTCTGTACCTATGTAAAGCCTGAAAATAAATTTGGTTTTCAAAACACAGCAGCGGTGTGTAGTTTTGTGGAACCCCGTGCTGCTGACTAGGGCTTCGCACTGTTCTTTCCTCGCTGTGAAGTTACAGAAGGGTGACTGAGGCCTGTGCCCTGCGTTATGTCCCCTGGATGATGTCTGGAGGGACAACCGTGAGCAGCCACTTGGGGAAGCGGAGAAACCGAGGCCCTTGTCGCACCACAGCCCCCGAAGGCGTGTCAAAGGGAAGGGTCAGGACGCAGGCGGACTGAGACGCTGGGACCCGCACTCAGCCTGCACACAGCCAGCCTTTCAGGAACTGAGCACGTATACAGAGAAGGGAAATATACAGAGAAAAACAGAACAAAACAACGCCCCCTGGTGTGCGGACAGGGTGCCACCTCAGAGCCCTGGGTCTGCAGACAAGGATGTGTGTGACTGGCCGCTCTGAACACAGAGCGCCCAGACACATCCAGGCAGTGTGCAGGGGGCAGATGGGAAGGCCTGCAGGCAGCAGCGGGCCCCATGCACTTCCGCTCCCCCTCCCAGGTGCTCAGGCAGCCCGTCTGCCTCGGGGCACGGTGAGCTGTGCTGGTCACCCACCGACGCTGCCCCAAACATGAACTCACCTGCACCTCGTGACTGCCTGATTATTTACTAGGCGAACGGGGATGCCCCTGCTGACGCCGTGGACACTGTCCTTGCCGCCGCCGACAGCCTCGGCTTGGCCACGGCCGTGCAGCAGGGGGCCTGGCTCTCCAGCCTCGCACCTGCCTCGGGGGACGGAGCCTGCTGGGTCGTGGCCACCCCGGTGGGAGAGGCGGCACCTGGTTCCTGGCTGATGCTTTGACAGTAAGGACTTTTCTCTTTTGAAAAAAACTTGTTAGCAAGAATCATGAGGTCAGATTCCTCTTTTAAGCTTTGACTGCAGGTACTTTTTGGGGGCATTTTTCTTACATGACCCAGTTTTACAGAGAATTTGAGGCGGCTTGTTTGCTATATTGCTTCCGTGGGTGGTTTGTTACTTTAGAGAAGGGGCTGAAGGGTCTCGAGCAGAGAGAGTGGACGAACAGCCTGTGAGTGAAACACACTGACTGTACAGGGACTGGGTGCGTGATAATGGGCTCCATCAATCTAAAAACCGAAGAACGGTGTCAAGTCAGAAATGACTCATCGGCCATTTTTGTCACCTGTACATTTGTGAGATGATTTACATCCCAATTCTCTCTTGAAATAGATACACTATATCGAAATTGTGGCAAAAATAACCCAAAGCTCAACATGCAGATCTGATGATTTGGAGGCGAGGAGAAACTGGACGGACGCCTATCTGAGCAACCCTGGGTCTGGCAGCTGTTCTGAGATCCGGCCTGGCCACAAATCGGTGCACAAAATGAGTGAAACTGTCTGATTGTCTTTTCCCCAGTAACTAACTCTCGGACATGCAGAGATGCGCGGACACAGTAAGACCAAAGGCACGTGTCCGGGGCCCTGACTACATTGGGGGCTGCCCCCTGGGGAGCTGGACAGCTCTGGCCCAGCTAAGGCACTCAGGTCTCTCACAAGGCTCCTCTCTGTACCCCTCTGGGCCTGGGTGAGACATACCAGGTGACACGGCTTTGACTCTGAGGAACCCCATGGATTAGACTGCGCAAGGGCCCCAACTGACCTCGTCGGGGCTGGAGGCCTGGTAGGCACGGTTCTCATCGCTGAGATCTCGGTCCACCTCTGCACACTCGGCCTCCCCGGCCACACTGGCTTGAGACTCATACACCGGCGTCACGTTGTGGCACAGTGCAATGGCCTTCACTGCTTCGTGTACTCGACTGCTAACACTTCTCCTAAGTTTGGGAGCCGAAGACTGGGCTGTCCTTGGTGGTGTGGAACTGGTATTGCTTCCACTGGCTTGAGACTGCACCTGGAACATACAGAGTGTAGCAAAGCTGGAGATAAAGCTGATACTGCAATTAATACAGGCTGTTTTTATAAGCTAATTAGCCATCAGTAAGAAAAGTGCCTTGACTTGGTGACCTAATTTGATTCTGACTGTCTTACCTATTGGCATGATAAGCTGCTTTTACTCTAGTGCTGCAAAGTGCTTTGATATTTCCCAGTTGTCAAGTACAGCAAAGTATTTGACATAATACCTAAAATATGACAATTTCCTTTTACTAGATCCAGTTTAACCACGGCATTAACTTGCCAAGTCTTTAATAATTCCTGTTTATTCATTACTTCTAGAAGCAGAGTAAGCTAAAGAACAAAACAGAATGGCATATTCACAACTGCTTTCATTTTTCTTTAAAAAATGCTGTATAAAATGGTATAAAGTTAAAAGCAGGAGAAATGTTCATCAATCTTCCCTTACTACCATAAATTAATCTACCTTGCAACAGTCTCTGATCAGTGTCTAATTTTGTAGACAATAATCAAATACAATGAACCGTCACATTCTGAGGGAAAACGATGCCGTGTCGAACTCAGCACCGGTCCTCGCACGGTGACCACCAGCTGGCACCGATGTGTGTGCTGGCTCGCGTCACACGCAGCTGCGCTGGGGCACCCGTCTCCACCAGCGAAGCGGGTGACTTCTTGCCCTTCACCTCCTGCTCGGGACTGTCACACCTCTTCGGTTAACTTCAGAGCAGCTCATGACGCTCCTCCTCGGGAGCCAAGTCCCTTGCCGCTGGCTGGGGTGCACAGAGCCACTGAGCCGTGAACACTCTGCCCATCAAATTACAGTGCTGTCTAATGAGGGGTTTAACCTCTCTGCGCAGCGGGCGCTGCCTTCCCGAGGGTGAGCGTTCAGACCCCACATCTGTGTCCTGCTCTGCTGCCGCTCCGGCGGGAGGGAACTCGGCTGACTTCCTCCTCTGAATTATGTTACGTGTGCTCATGGCCGTATAATTTAATTTCACACAAATTCCATTAAACATCGTGCCCTCTGTCACCAACTGCTTCCAGGGGGGAAATACGATCAGGTCATGAGAGATTTCTGTGACCTTAGTGGGGGCCTGGAAGGCTGCTGTCACCCCAGTAAGACAGCAGAACCTAAGGAACACGATGTCACAAGGGAAGTGCTGCCAACCACCATCCAAGAGAGCTTTTAGTAAAAAAAATTTTGTAAGTCCTCTTAGATGGCATTATTTTAAGTATTAAGTATTTGTTGTTTTTATATAATGACTGATCTTTTCTGCTTCGATTCTTTCTAGTAAAATAACTTATTTGTAGCTATAAGTCATATATATTTATGGATAACCTATCACTACTCAAGGTCACAAAATGCTATGAACTGAAATCAACGACATCCACGCACATATGTAAGTTATGTGCATGGATGTATGCTTATGAGCGACAGACACGACATGCAATACACGTACACACACGAGGTATTTTCATCTGACAGCATCTCAAAAGTAAAGAAGAGTATATGCCAGCCTGGGAAGCATCACTGTGCTGAGGGCAAGGCTGACAGTCTACCCTGAATTCTGTCCGAGTGGAAACCGCGAAGGGCAAGTGGGAGTCCAGCGTGTGCACACCCAGGCTGGGGTGAGTTGCTGGGACAACGTGCGCCAGCCTCCGGTGGGTGTGCCCCACCCACAGGCGCTACGGTAGTGCTGCGGGTGCAGGTGAGGTGTTGCGTCTCTGCAGAATGAGCTGCCCATGAGCCTGATGTGCCTCAGCTCATTATCACACAGGCAACTGCCTTCTGCCCCCCATGAGCACAGAGGTGAGGGCGCACCACGGAGGTAACAGCTCCTCCACACCGTGAGGGCCCTTAGGGGAGTGCCTGGAACAGACCCCACCGGATGCCAGGTTCGCCCACACAGAAGGGGCGCTGTATGTTGCATGACAGGTACGAATAAATCCAAAGGCAAACCGACACCATCTGAAAGCAGGGCTCCGGGAACCACGGAGCCCACAGGAAACACCAGGAAATGGCTCGGGCCGCCCACCCCCCACTGATCGCGGCAGGACCCACGCACACACGGCGGCCCTCACGGGTCTAACGTCCCCAGCCTGGAGTGTTAAGACGGGGGCCAGGCAACAGACCCGCCCACGGGCAGCGCACAGCCCAGTGTCTCTGGCAAATGCGGTGAGTGCCGGGGTGCACCCTCATGGCAAGCCAGGAATTCCCACTCTCGCGGCCCCAGAGAGCTCCGGGGGCTCCAGGGGAAAAGATAAGACTTGGGTCATGTGAAAACAAAACAACCACAGAGTCCTTATCTAGCAGAGATACAGACTGAATATTTAGGCGGGAACGGTGTGGTCCTGAGCCTCCCCTCAGAACCGTCCAGCGGGGGAGAACGGCTGTGGAGCGGCGGTAGGCCAGGCGGGGAGGCCCTGCGGGGAGCGGCAGCTGTGCGAGGGCTCACAGCGCTGGGGGCCGCTCCTGCTCGCTGGCGAGGTGGACACACGGAGCGCGCCTTTATAAAGTACGAGAAAGGCTTACTAACTATGAGGAAAAAACGGGAACTGTTGAATGCATTTGATTAAAGCAGCATTCTACTTCACATTCTTAAAAACACTGTGTTTACTGAACAGCTTTTCAAATAATTCATGAAGAAAATGCAACATAAGTAAAATGACCTAAGGTCATTATGTCCTTTATGATTATATAATATAGAAATGCTTATTTAAAGCATATTGATTTAAATAATGCTTTTAAACCAAAATGCTTTGATTTGAGAAATGACCTGAACAGCCTTTTATTCCTAAATCGTAACCGGTGACTGCAGGACACAGGGTGCTCGGTCTACAGGCTGCTTCTCGGCACAGCCTGCAGGAAGCCGCACGGGGCCCGCGGTGTACCTGGGAAGGGGCGCTGGCAACGTGGCTGCGGATCTCGTCCATCGTGTCTGCCCCGTAGGACACCGTGCCCAGGTGCAGCCGCTTGAACACCATTTCGTTCTGGGTGAGGGTCCCTGTGAAGAAGCAGCGGTAAGATCTGGGTAACTACAGGGAGCCCAGCGGGAGCCCGGCCCGCACAGCCGCGTGCGGGCCCCAGGCGGATGCACCTCCTCCGCCCGCGCACATTGTGACGCGCCTGCCACGCTTTTCGTTTCAGCAGCGAGGACCGGCGAGTGCCTCCCAGAAGGCCAAGTTCCCTCTGTAACAGCTTTTAACAATGTGAAGGGTTCTATTTACATGAAGAACGTCCGGTCTCTGCCCTTCAGTTCAGATCTGTGATTTGGTACAGATGCAGTTTTTGCCCGTTCTGAAAAAGGCAGGCATAAAACTGCAGAACTGAGCCCGTCTCTGCACGTGCGCTTTGGAAACTGCCTGGGAAAGACATCAACCAGCCCAAAGCAATAGTTTTCAAAAAAACCGATTTCCAACCAGTATTTCTGATTGAGCAGAAACACATGCACCCGTGAGCATCACCGGGAACAGAAAGGTGGGCGTCTCTTCAGCCGAGTTCTCGGCGAGCCACCAAACGCCCTCCTGTCCCGCTGCCCCCCAGCGGACGAGGGGGCGGGGAGCGCGGCCCAGGAGGTCGAGGCTACTCCCCGGGGCTGCTGGCCAGGGACGGAGCTCCAGCAAGCACCTCACTCTCGGTGCAGAAGGAAGTGGTTTACAAGAGGGCATCACAGGATGGTTTTAGGGGGTGTCACAGTTTCGGCTTCCTATGGAAAATATACACAGCCAACCAAATGAGGGGAAGTAACACTATGAGTAGAGCTAACAGTATACATTTTTAAAGTTGGTGAACTTTCATTAAAAGTGGCACATAAATCACAATGTTATACACCTTAATGACAATGAAAGGAGTCCCTAACCCCTTGATACATGTATCACTTAATATAAAAAAATACATATAATACATGCATGTAATATTTGCTTACCCGGGGAAGTTTGATGCCCTGCAAACATGCACCTCACGTGCAGTACGTTGTCTCGCTGGGGTCCCTGCACTTACTTCGGAGCACAGACCCACTGACACCGACGTGGACACGAACAGTCATAGAGTCAGTCAATTACAATAAATGTCAGACTATAAAACTCATAAATATTGACTAATTTTTCTTTTTTTCTGGCACACATGAAATTGAAAATAAAATACAAAGTGTTTCATATCTATCTGTGACTCCATACACATTAGCATTAGTGTTCAAAGCAAAACAGCTCATCTGACTCAGAACTCCCACCAGGACACAGGCGATTTTAAAATAAAGGGAAAACCTATACTTTACAATTGCTATTCTAGTGACTGTTTTGATAAGCCCTCCCACAAGGGCATAATATATCGGTTCCGTGAATCCCGAAGAGCAGACTATCAGAAGATGATCGATCAGTTTTATGAATTTTACCTTTTACAAAATTCAATGTAGCCCTGCCAATGCGTTGAGTGAATGGCTTGGAAGTTCCTTGAAAGTGACCGAGAATCACAACGATCGAAATAACATGAGAGGCAGTTTATACAACTGCTGCTTCTTGTGACACCATCTTCATTAAATAATGGAGAAATAACTTAGAACACTAGTTCACAGTAAATGATGGAGTCAGCAGACATTCAGTCTTCAAGTGAAATGAGGTCCCACGGATGCCCCGTATCACATCTGAGATGGGAGCAACAGGCCTATTATCACCTACAGCCAAAGGATAGTGAAATTTGCATAAATCCCATTGGAATAAGCACAAAGTTCAGCTGTCACATGGGCTCAAATGGGCAGTTCTCTGAAAAATTACTTAACAATTACATTATTTAAATTAAAAATGCTTGTTATCAGACTGATATAAAGAGGCTCCTTTAGACTTGTTCTCTCTGATGTGTGCTGGATGTGAAGCACTGTATTCACGGTGGGCCATCGCGATCAGCGTAAGATGGGCACTACTCCTTCCAGCCTAGCTGCTCTGTACTGACCATCTTGCAGAGAGCTGAGGTGAAGAATACTACACAGGCATCTGTGTGCCTCTGGCCGGGGGGCCGGGCTGCGGGGCAGGCCTGGATGCACTGGGACTCGGGGGCCAAGCCACCACCATGGGGCCACCACAGGCCTGACGTCGAATCCCACCACTCCACTCCCCCTCTTCATGGTCTGCGTGCAATCAGCTGCCCGCCTTCCCACCTCCACCCAGAAGATGGGCAAGCTCTGTCCCCCACAGGTGCCTGGGGCCTCGCTGGTCAGCTTCCCCAGCGGTCCAGCCTAGAGCCCGGCTGCTCACTGGCACTTCCCCCTAGTGTGGAGACCCCACCGTCCCCTCCTTCGCTGATACACCACAGGCCCTCCACACGTCTCAGAGTGACACAGCGCCCCCTGTCGCACATCCCTGGCAGGCTGGAACCCCTGCATTCATCTGGCAAAAACCTGAAAAGGTTTGGTGGTTGGTGGGCCGGCGCCAAGCCCTGCCTGTCGCCTGTGGGCCGTGGAGCCCAAGGTGCTGCCCGCTCTCAAGCCTCAGAGCTCAGCAGCAGCAGAGAGCCACCACCTGTCCTGTGTGGAGGTGGCCAAGGACGAGGAGAGCCCGTGAGACACGCCAGGCCCGCCGGCAGCAAGGGCCCTTCCCTTAGAGCCATGGTGCTGCAGGGAGAGGGACGGGTACCCAACAGTCCCGCTACCGGGAGGCACTCAGTGCTCCAGACACCCAGGGGAGCGGCCGACATGGCCTGGGCAAGGCTGGACGGCTGCCTGGAGGCGGCAGGGGGCCTGGGGCAGCTGGGACGGAGGAGGTGGGTGACTGGGCATGGCAGGGGACACGGGAAGCAGGTGTCTGGGGCCTGAGGAACAGTCAGTGAGGGGAGGGTGGGGGAGCTGAGTGTGTCCAGTTGCCAAGGGGACCCCATGCCATGCTTTTGGGCTCCAATTTCATTCTGGGGACTCCCGTGTGGGTGGTGAGGACTGGTCACCAAGCTGGCAGTGGGGGTCAAAGGACAGGAAAGACCAGGCACAGGGTCTAGGTGAGACAGAAGAGGAGACAAATCCTTGCTGAACTACCCATAAGCCCAGACCAGAGAGGGCCCAGCCCCACTCAGGAGGCCGGTGTGCGAGGCAACGAGACAAGGAGGCGGGCAGAAGAGGATGGCCTGGCTGCTGGGCCTGGCGGCCGGTGGCGTCCTTGGCCCTCACGCAGCCACGTTTCGGTCAGAGGCCTGCTGCCCAATGCGCCTTGTAAAGCTCACGCCCCAGCGTTGCAGGCAGGCCTTGCTGGTCCTCTCATGCCTTCAAGCCCCAGGCTGGCCTCTCGGGCACGGGGCCCGACCCAGCGACACAGTGACAGTGAGGCCACGAGCGCGCTGTCGCCGTGCGGAAACCTCCCCACTGTCTGCTCAGACGGGCGGGCGGGCACGACCCAAGTTACACGAGCAAACATAGCAGAGAAACTAAAGCAGCGGCTTGTGGTCAGGCTGCCGGCGCAACAGTGGGGTGGGGACGCGGGTCCCTTGGCTACGTGTTCTGTGCGTCTCCCACCATGTCCGGCTGCCTCGGTCCGACTCTTGGTAATGGACCAATAACCCAGTTCATGTGCTGTGTTCTTACTCGTTGAGGAAGCTGAAAGCCTGATCAAAGAAAGGTCACAAGGCTTATCAGGAAAAAGAGATCAAATTATTATTATTATTACCGATCAAAATGTTATCAAACAATTAACAAAGATCAGCTATTTCTAGAAAGCTGTCTGGGCCACGTTTGACAGAACCATCACACCATCTCAGCCGTTCACACTGAAGCGTGCGGGGGCTTCGGGAGGCGGCTCTGCGGTGTGGACGGGGGCAGCCCGTGCACCGGAAGCCTGGCCGAGGCAGTGCCAGGATGAGCGCCGTCGTCCATGCCAAGCGGACGCTCCTGTGCAAGCTGTCATTCTTGCTACATGCCCCACGCAGCCCTGGACTGGGCCGGCCACGTGAGCCCAGCCTGGCGCCTGCACCTGGACGTCCGGCTCCAGGAATCTGCACGCTCACCACGAATACTGCACAGCTATCTGCACAAGTGTTATCCTCCTCAAGCCACACAAAAGCACTGGGGAGACAAGCCCGTGCGGCCAGGGCTCAGAGCTGAGTGCCACGGAGCAGGGCCCTTCGCTTCAGCTGGAACCGGGCAGACAACACATTCGCACTCGGGGTGCGAGGAATGCTAGACGACCGTTATGTAATGTAGTCTCCACTTTAGAAAAAAACTACCGGGGTTTTCAGTAACATGATGGCAAAAAGGAAGATAAGTGTGCTTTTACATAAAACACTACATTCCAGTTAAAAAGAAAATACGTTATAGTGAAAAGAAATGAGACTATCCTCCTTGCCAGTCAGTCCTCTTACCAAAGATCTTTTCCTAGTTGCCAGTCTGAGGATAAGGTGTTTTCATTTTTATTTTGAAATAATTAGATTCACAGAAAGCTCGTAGGCACACAGATGTCCCTGGGCCCATCAGCAGCTCCCGCTGGCTGCACCCCACACCACCGGCGACACCGGCCCAGGACCGTGACGCTGCGCATGGTTCTGCATCCCTGCATCATGCGCAGAAGCGGAAGCCCCACTGCAGCCCCGCTCAGAACCAACCACCTCCACAAAGACCCCTCGGCTGCGCCGCCTCCGGCAGTGGGGGTCCGGGGCTCCGTCTGCGTAATGCCATCGTTCCTAGGGTGGTCCACCGACTGCCTGGCAGAGCAAAGTCCGGGCAGTGCTGGCTGGGGCGCTGGGCTGCCTCTGATGGCTGGAAGGGAGGAGGTCTGGAGCCCTGCCCAGCCTTCGGGGCTGCAGCCACAGGCTTGCCCCTCAGCTTTGGGAAGACGGGTCGGATGTATGCATGGTGTGTGGTCAAGACGAGCATGTGGTGGTGTGCTACTCACTACCGAGATCACGGAGCGCTGGCTGATGCCCGCTCCTGCCGCACGACCACGTAGACGGTTTTGCTGCGCTGTCTGGATGGAAGGGAGCGCACACGCTCTGTCTCGCCAGGCTGCTCCCTGGCTCAGTCTGTGCCCGTGGCGG